GGGGGGGGGGGGACAGACTGGGGGGGAGATGAATGGGAGTGGGGTGCAGAGACATGGATAAAGGGGACATGGGTGGAGGGGGAGCTGAGTGGTAGTGCAAGGACACATGGGGTTGGGGGAAGGAGGGGTGGCTGAATAGGGTGCAGGGACACATGGGGAGTGGACGCTGAGTGGGGGTGCAGGGGCACAGGGGCTGATGTGCCTGACTGAATGGGAGAGGCTAGGGGTCAGCCAGGGTCTGCATGGGTGAGGCTCACCAAATTCCTAACAAACCCTCCTCCCCCTGCACCCAAACCCCTGTTCCATACTTCTCCCACCTGCAACCCACAACCCTCCGGGTTCACTCCCAAGTTACTTCCCAGCAATTACTTCCCTCTCCCTCAGCTCCTCGGTTACCCCTGACTCTTCCAAGACCTTGCACTGCTTCTGAGGGATGCAGGAAATGCGATTCTGTATTGTAGTTTAAACAAATTACTCAGTGTTCTGTATTAATATGCCTTGTAAGGAATCTATTTGTCAAAAAAAGAGTCTTTTTGTTGTCTGTATTGTTAGACATACTTGCGGACAGATATTTTGAAATAAATTACTAATAATTGAAACTGGCATGATTATATTGTATGATTTTGACAAAATTTGCAGAATTTTAAAATATTGTGCATACAATTTTTAATTTTTTGGCACAGAATTTCCCCAGGAGTAGAAAAGGGAGCAAAACAGCTCACTGGAGGGGAGACCAAGAAAGGGAACAGATCTCCAACCCTCAACTCCTAAAGAAAGGCAGGAGCTTTCTTGACAACCACTGCCTGAGGGAAGGGAGGGCCTGATCCTGAATCACCCTGAATGGGAATCATTCCTTGCTGTCTTACTAACTTGGTGTATTGTGTTACCTCCCCTTGCTTTTTGTTTACAAACTACCCTGGAGGGGTGACTTTTTTTAAATGACCTGGCCAATAGCGCTGGAACACTTTTTTTTATTTTATTTTTTATTAGTGGGGGTGCTGAAAGCCAGTCACCTTACCCCTCTCTGTGCCCCCCTCCAGAGTTGGGGCTGGGAGCACAGCCATGTCTCTGGGAGGGGGAGACCCAGATAGGGGTAGGGGGGGCAGCAGCTGGGGCCCTGTGCAAAACCTGGGGGTGCTACAGCAGCCCCCACAGCCCTAGTTCCTGCACCTATGGACCTGGCCAGAGGGCCAAGTCACAGGAAGAGGCCGACCACTGCAGAGGCCAAGCAACCAGTGGCAGCAGACCCCAGGAGGAAGGGAGAGGGGGATGGAGGGGGAGAGAGAGAGAGCTGCCAAGCCACATCCAACCACGAGTTGGTGCTGGCGGTGAGCTGATCCCCTCACAAGCTTTTATATGCTATTGCGATATAAAATGAGGCATGTAGACTGGATGTGACCATAAGCTTGCAATGACATAATAGAAGGCATAGCTTCATAAACTCCTAGAAGAGCCCCCCAATTCAAAGTTACTTGCAAAAGATCTTTGGACATGCTAATTTATTGGTAGCACCTTTCTGGATTGCAAACCAAAGTTTGACCTTGGCTGCAAAGTAAAGATGCATAAAAGCATTTTAGGTTTATTTTTCATAATTAATCATGCAAAAGTCAATTTTATGGTAAAACAGACAAATGAGATGTCAGAAAGCATTTGATTGTGAATACATCGCCTCAAGACGTTAGCATTATTTGTGTCTTAGCTAAAACAAAACACACCATTTCTTTTATCTGCATTGTAAAATGAAACCAATACAGGAAAGTAGACTCCAGTTACAATATATTTATATTGTTTGATTATTGAAATCTGTCTAATTTGTGTGTGTGTATTAAAATCAGTAAATGTTGGTAAGCGTTGCCTTCACTGTACATATGCAAACTGAAAAAATATTTCCATTAATAAAAAATCAAAATTTGCAGTTTGGCAAAGTAAGAAAAATGCTCCTTGAGTGAGTTTGATTTCAGGATATTTACTTTGTATATTTTGATGTGATGTTGATAATTTGTTTTAACTGCTCTAAAGTTTGGACTTTTTGAAATCAATATCTGTGAATAACCCCCCTCTTGTCTGACCCCCCCCTCCATAATTTCCTGAAACTGTGAACATTTTAAATTGATAAAAACAAAATGCTTAAAACCCATAATTTTGCTCAACTGTGAAAGTGTACTTTAATTGAAAAAAATGTTTAAATGAGCATTGATATCTTCTGAAATTATAAAAATCAAATTCTACTAGGCATATCTATATCTATATATAAAAAAAAAACTTTCCCCTTATTCCCCACAGCATTTAGGCATAGACTGTGGCCAGTGTTTTAGTCAAGGCAGCCTTTTCCTTCCCTGAAGCTCCTCGCACACCTATCAATTTCTCTTCATCTTCTTCCCTCATTCCTTCTGAAGTAACTGGCACCAGCCACTGTTGGAAGACAGGATACTGGACTGGATGGACCATTGGCCATACTAAATCAGACCATTCTTCATATTGTTCAGGAAACTAACTTTGTAACTATCAATAGCTTTCTGTGCTACTAGGGTGACCAGACATCCCGATTTAAAATTGGGACCGTCCCGTCCCGATTTTGAGCTGTTTGTCCGCGTCCCGACCAATCTCTGGTCGGGATGCAATTTTTGTCCCAATTATTTTGTGTCGGCTATTTTTTTTTAACTTGCTCTCGGCCGGCCGGCAGCACTCAGTGTTGTTTTTTTTGTTCCCCCACCCCCCGTGTCCCGATATTTTCTTCATCTCATCTGGTCACACTATGTGCTACAGTGAAGCAAAGATCAAAAGGATAGTTCAAAGGCTGCATCTGCTCATATCAAGAAAAGCTGCAACAACCTTTCCTCTGAATGTCAGAGAAATACTGGTGGCCTCTTCTGGAGCTTCTGACGAAACTATTCTACAGGTCATTCAAGAGGGTGGCTCTTTTGAAAAGGGGGAGGAGGGTAACTTACACTTGCCTTTGGAGAACAAGGATGTTGCTGAAATGACGTTAATGATGGTCATTATTGACACCTGGGTATGTCTTCACAGCAAAGAAAAACCTGAGGCTAGCCTGTGCCAGCTCACTTGGGCTCGTGGGGCTGTTTCATTGCTGTGTAGATTTCTGGAGCCCAAGCTCTGGGACTCTCCCACCTCACAGGGTCCTAGAGTCTGGGCTCCATCCCAAGCCTGGAAGCCTACTCAGCAATGAAACAGCCTGAGTCGGCTAGCAGGCCAGGCCAGCCGCGGGTGTCTAGTTGCTAGTAGACGTACGCTCAGAGGGTGGCTGCTCAGCACTGGAGGAATTTTGGATCTGGATCTCAACTTCATGGATGGGGCCATGTTTTAGAGATCGCAAAACCTTCAGTGAATATGATGTATACAGATAATTAACTCTTATAATGATGTTAATAGTGGCAACCACCGAAGCATTTATTATCATAAATGCCTCTCTTAATGGGATTTCCTGACTTCTAGTATAAATTGTAATTTTATAAAAAAAAAAAAACACTCTAGTGGCTCACTTCTATTGTCTTGTCCTTTCTATTTAGTTTGTCCTGGCCGTTTTATATCCCTTACATATGCTCTGTATCAGTCTTCAAGGTAAGCCTGAACTCCGTAATATAAAGCAGTGTGACTGGAGTCTCGTGATATGCGTTGCCTTTCCTGCTGATCTGTACAGTGGTGGAGAATGCAGCTTGGATGAGGAAAAGACACTTAGGCTCTCTCAGTAAACTAGTTTGGGGAACAGTGGGTTTTTAGCTGTGGGGTTTTGCATTGAAGCCATGTGAGTTCAGATAACATGTGGTTAAAGCCCACCAAAAAATTTTTTCCCCTAGTGTGACTGCACCCACAGTTTTTGTGTGGTTTTGATTCACACAGACGTTAAAACAATTCAGTATCAGATTTGCTTTGAAAATTCGTTTGAACCCAAAACACAAAGTGAAACTCAAATATATTGTGAAAAAGATCACCCTATACCTGGCATCAGACCCGGTTTCTGCCTCAGTTTCTCCAATCATGTAAGCCTATGGGCCAGCTCACTGGCCATTGCATCAGTGAAGCTCCCATCATCATCAATATTCCACTTTCTTTTCCAAGGGATGCATTTATTGTTCTTGATTAAGTGCATTTAATAATTCAGGGAATAAAGTGGGAGTTCTCCATGGGCATACAATGTTTTCAAAAACAAATGTAGGAACTTCTAGTTTATCCTCCAGTGGTTTGGGTTACCGTAGCATTCCTACTTCACTAGTGCTCTTTCATATTGCTCAGGAATCTGTTCCTGTAAATATCTATCTAAAGTGTATGATAAAAAGCAAAACTCAGATGTGAATTTAAAATGCAGTTTCTGCTTGGAGCGAGAGTGCCTGTTGGCATTTAAAAAAAAAAAAATCAAAATCAAGCTGTTCCAATTTTGAATGAGAAGATCAGAGCTAAACTGAGATCCTTTCTTTCTGAGACCTGTGCTCTCATGAGAAACACAACTGGAAGTTGAGGGATATTTTTCGTCTAGGTTTAAGATTTTATGAACAGGGGAAATTTGGATTTAGGTGCATAGCTTGCTTTAAAATGTATAGTTTTTTACCAGTTTTTACTCACAAGAAGAACAAATACTTTGTGTTTAGGGACCTAAGCTACTGCCAAACTAGAGTGGAATACATGAATTTGTAAACCTGCTACAGCTTTTAAAAGAAATCTTAATATCACAATTTTTTTCCCCCTTTGCATACATGTTCCACTCATACTAAATTTCAAAGACTACTTTGGTAAAACTTCTTGGGCAATTGGCTTGGCATCTGTTAATTTAATTCCCCTGTACTACTGTAATAGGATATAAATTAGAACTCAGGGGATCACTGATAATGTTCAGTGAATAAGATCAAACTTTGAAGGATATGAAAGGGATTGCTCTGCTAATACCGCAAGTGGTAACGTACAGAGCTAGAGGGACACTTTACTATACTGCAGTCTTCTTCCCCAACTCCCTCATGAGAGTGGGTAGTCCAAAAACCCAAACACAGAGTTCCTGTACATAAAGTATTTTTGCTTTATATTTTTATATAGACTCTAGTTCCTCCCACTCACAATAAAAATATTATCTGGACTCCCCTTCCTAAAACAACCCATTATCTTAACCCCGCCTGCCTCATCAGCTAGCACCCTATATCCTGTCTTCCCTTCATCTCTGTTCTCAAGTGTACTGCCTACAACTGCTGTTTCAGGTTCTCCTCCAACTCCATCCTGGATCCCCTCTGGTCTGATTTCTGCCATCTCTACTCCACTGAACTTAATCTCACTAAGATCCTTAATGACCATTTTATGGTGAGATCTCAGGACACCTTCTCATCCTCCTTCACTTTTCTGCTTTTGATACAATTAAGCATTCTAGAGCTGAGCAAAAATCTGAATTTCCATCCACAGGAAATTCCAATGCTTTACTATTTGTTTTCATTCTGAAGTGGTGCAAAAAGTCAAAACTATCAACACATTTATGGAATGAACATTTCCAAAAAAATTCTATTTGGAAATGCCAGACTTCTTTGTTTTGACAATTTTGATTGGAACACTTTGACAATCATGAACTGAAATTTGTGTTTTGGTGTGCTGAATCAAATCAAAACAATGTCTTGAGAGCGTTCAGCTTTCAGTTGCATCTGCCTGTGGGCAAGGTTCCTTGGCTGGACTACATCTCCCATGATGCACCACAGTGTTCGGTTAAAGTGGAGGCTGCAGTGCATCATGAAAGATGTAGTCTAGGCCAGGAGCCTGCCCCAGAGAAGCAAATGGGGAATGAAAAACCCAAACTATAGCTCTCATGAAACACTGCAGAAGCATAAGTAGATGCAGTTTAATGTTGACTTGTAACAAAGATTTGCTTCAGTTCAACAAAGAAATATTTTGATCTGGATCAAACTTACTCAGAATGAAATTTTGCTTTGCTTTTACTAATGGAAAATGAAAAATTTCAGTAAAATCAGAATTTCCCCCCACAAAATTCCATGTAATAGAAATTGCACTTTCCATCAAAAACATTTAATCAGA